CTTGGTCACAAAATTTATTGCTATTCATTTATGTACTTTATAGGTAAATCTACATGTGGAATGTGAATTAGTTTCAACCATATAATTTTTAGTATCTTGTTGGTTAGAGGTCAAGTCAAGTATAGATTAGCACTATAGATGTGGATTCATTTGAGGCCATAACTTTTAACCTAGATCGATCTAGATTTATTTAAGCAAAATCTAACTAAACTATTGAACTATGAATCCAGAATTTAAATAAGGTAATCGACTCACAATATTAACTCAATTTTTTAGCATGGGAAAGCATGCCAAGGTGCTGGATTCAATGTTTGGAACCCGAGTTCTGAACGTATAGAATTAAAATTCTGAATCTGCCTCTCTGGATCAAAGTTCACTAAAAATCTAACCCATTTGTAGTGAAGTTCTCTGGTGTTTTTTTTGGATGTGGGTACTCCAAGCAAGTTGGAATGGGCCCAATTTTTAAGGTCCAAATTTAGTTGGGCCCAAATCCAACTAAATATTCAATAAGAACCAATAACTCTTGTACAAATATAATGTCCCGTCAACAGAATATTGTGTTTTCTTTTTGCTCTTATCTAGACCAAGTTTTTATAGCCACCAAAATTCAGTCTCCCAACTCTTTATCCATGTTATGATTCCCTAAATAAATTCTTCCAATATCACCAATGACCTCCACTTTCAAAAGAGATTAAAGTATGCTAATGGAGGGACCTAAAAAGCACCTTTTGGTGAATTATTGAAAAAATAAACACGCGAAACTCAAAATCTCATGATAAAGAACATGGAGGTATCGCTATTGACATTTTTCATTCTTTGTTTAAACTATGCTCTCTTTTTTTTACTGCTTTCGTCTGTTTCAATTTGATTGGCTTGAGACAGAGTATGAGAATTAAACTAATTAATATTTGGTGTAAACTTGATTATAGAATCTAAAAATTAAAGTAATTAATATTTGGCTAAAAAAGATTAAGTTTTTAAAAATAAAATTTTACATATATAAAAACTACATAAAAGTATACTATATATAAGCCACAATGTCATTCAAAATATTTGAATAACTTACTATTAATTTTATTTTTTATTTACCTCTAAATAACTAAAACAAACAAATTGAAATTGGAGGGGAGTAACAAGATTAATAAGGTGCCATTTGTTTTAGCAAGGTTCTTTACACACACTGTGGCGTGGGGGAGTTTGAGGATTGAAATGTTGATTATTATTCTATTAACTAGTGAATTTGATCGTGCTTTGCGCGGTTTATAAGAAAATCAATAAATTGAAAATAATATTTTTATAAGTTCATATAGCGGAAATAAATTTTAATTTTGTTATATTGATTAAAACACAAAAATAATATTTTTATTGGTGTTAGATGAACCACATTTTAAAAAAAGTAAATTTGCATTTCAAATAAAAGAAAAATGAAATAAAACTAAAATCATAAAAACACAAACACACAACATATTTTTTTAACAAAGTGAAGAACATATGACATTATTATGCATATTTGATATAGGCTTTGAGACAATATATTCAAAAGAGCACGAAATTTTTTCTTCAAAAAATTGATGAATGTACAATAATGTAGTTGTCTAAACAATGAAACTTACTCATGGCATCTCTATGAAAAACTTGCATAATTATGCTTTCTAGACTCATTTAGCACACTTCTATGGTGACAATAGAGATAATGATTGATCTTCTAATTTAGGAATAACTTCACCGAGTAAGAGGTGTCCTGTAATTGTCATACAAACATCTAATGTAACAAAATATTGTGAAAATTTATGATTACTATCGAGATAAATTCTCAACTCCTACTTGTACGTGAATCCCTAGTTTTCCTCCACAAATTTTCTCATCAAGCATCTCAATTTGTTCTTTGTCTCATGGATGACTTTGTATTCCACATTAGTTAGTCCACTTGCCAAACACATTCTATCAACAAAAAAAAAAACTTCAACATACATAATTTCACAATACATTATGAGAATTAAGATGATCAAGAAGTCAAATAAGAGATTGAACATACCAAAGAGAATTTAATTGGTGTCATATGAGTTTCATATGTGAAAAGTAGGAGTGTGCATCGGTCAGTTCGGTTCAGTTTTATGTATTATCAGTTTTCGATTTTTAAATACGCTAAACCAATAACGAACCAATAAGATAATTTTTTATCGCTTTTCGGTTTATCGCTTAACGGTTCGGTTTTCGGTTTAACCAATAAGAAAATGCTTATAAAATAAATATATGATTTCTCTAATAAATTTGACACGACAAGACAATAATGTAACTTTACAAAAGCTCATAAAATAGAAATAATAATAACAAACATGAAAAGAACTATACATGTGTAACACAAAGAGAAATCAAGCGGAATATGGTTCTTACTTTAGGTTTTGACGATTTGTATAATGTAAAGTTGTAAACTAAAAGTCACAGTGAAGTATGAATTGATGGCTAAATTACAAAGACATAACTATTAAGATATTGAGATTAATATTTACTAATATGTATGTATATGTAAAAGTAGTAAATTACAATAGTCTTAACTCTTAATGGGTTATCGGTTTACCCAATAACCCAATATTGAAAACCAATATCAAACCGATAACCTGATGATTATTTTTATAAAACCATTAAGAAACCGCTAACCCAATAACCCAATAGCAATAAACCAATAACACTTTTTTCGGTTCGGTTTTTGCACACCCCTAGTGAAAAGTGAAAAATTATAAATCAATTCACCTTTTGTCTTGAAATAAATCACATTTCACATTCTTCAAATCTTATTCCTTATCATCAAATCATGTCTATTATAATGACCAACTCTGAAGAAAAAAAATGTTAAACTAACAATCTAGTTAAAAACAAATATAGTAAGCAAGCTACTACATGAAGAAAAAAAAAATACACTTCCAATCTATATATAGTACAAAAATATAGAATATGAAAAGACACAAAATTAATTAAAATCTAATTAGTCAAAGATTAATACATACTAATTAATATAATTGAAAATAAAGAAATTGTTGATGAAAAAACGGATAGGAAGAAAACTTACAACTAATCATTAGTTTCACAATTAAGAAAATTAATATCTCTTAATTAGTGCTAATTTTTAGTCATTAGTTATTTTTCGTATTAGAAAACTTACGCTAATCAAATTAATGTTCCTTTTTGGTTAGTTTTAGTTACCTCCAATTTTAGCAGTAATTTAATTTAATTAAATTAAGCAAAATTCACGTTCCTTTTTAAGGTAATGCTATACTCAAATTAACGTTATTTTTTTGGTTAGTTTTAGTTACTGTCGTTTAATTAAATTAAGCAAAATTCACGTTCCTTTTTAAGTTAATGCTATACTCAAATTAACATTATTTTTTTGGTTGATTTTAGTTACTGTCGATTTAGCAGTAACTTAATCAAATTAAACTAAGCAAAATTAATGTTTCCTTTTTAGTTATTGTACATTTATAGTCATTGTATCATTACTTTTGGAAGAAATAAATGTTATGAAGGCTCATAATGAGGGAATAGAATAAATTTTTAAACATATTTTTGAACAGACAATGAAGGTAAAAATTGAAAATTCTGAAAATATAAAAAAATAGTGATATTGACCATTGAAGCATGCCACATTAGATTGTTTTTATTATGGCTAATTTAAGTAATTTTATTTGTATACTAACTTCTAAAGTTGTACAATAAATGTGTATGGGAGAAAAGGTTTTAAAAAAAATAATTGGCATAACATAAATCTATATAGTACGCGTGCTTTTGAGATTTGATCCAAAAAATAAATCTGTGCAATAGTTTCATGAGCTTGGGCCTTGAATTATAATTGTATATCGAATATAATAATAACCAACGAATTAAAAGTACTTTTTTAAAATAAAAAAAATTCACCTTTGGCTTTGGCTTTTTTTATTACTCATTATATCTTAGTGCATGACAGCATGTGTGAGAAGATGAGTAAAAGTGTAAAAATTGGCAAATGGAAAAACAAGAAGGTAAAGTTCCCACCCAATAAGTGCTGAAAAAGCTAAAGTGATTTACATATTCACCATTAATATTGCTTAATTACCTCATTTTCAACTCACTTAAGTACTCCATGACTCGTCCTCGTTACACAAATTTTGCTTTTTCTAATACTTACAATTATTATCATGTCTTATGTATTCGTATAAATCAATAAATCCTATGTTAGCGGTCAACAATATTAATATACCTAATGTAAGATTGTTTTCAACAGGCTCTCGATTCAAATAAAATATGTAAAAATACTTATAATAAATCATGCTTCTATTGGTTATAAAGTTGAATATGAAATTCACACAATCAGAGTCAATTATGATTTGTCTTAATTAAGTTCTATTTTGATAAGATAACCCAAAGTTTTGATGTTTTGTGCTATTATTCTTCCCTCTTCCATAGTGCAACACAAATATTTTCCAAAATCATGAAATTAAATGAGTAACATTTTTTAAGTGTCTATGTGAGACTCCACTAGAAGAATCACAGCACAACGAGTAAGATTTACGGTGAAATTTTGAGCGTGAATTAACACTCAAACAACGATAAGGACCACCACTCACGAAGGACCACTAACCGCCCAAATCACATCGAGTGATACATTGACATCTAAGAATATTCACGCCATTCAACATTATTCTCTTCGATGCTCGCTATCTATCATCAAATCAAAAGCCAAATCTCATACTTTTCCATCACAAAAAAAAAATATACAAAATGAAAATCTTCAAGAGTAATATATCAATTACTTAATTAAATTTTACAACTTTTTCTTGAACAAAGAAAAAAAATACGTATAAGGTAAATTTCAGAAAAGAATAACATATAATTAGGTAATTTTCATAGCTCCATTAGTCGCCACTTGAACTTTCACTTTGTTGGTGATCAATTCGATTCCTGTAACTCTCACGTAACAGACACTCTTTATAATCTGGAGTCTGTCAGCAAAACGTACATTTCGGGATGACTCAATTCTTTTTTCGCCATCTCCATCTGCAACATCACAAATTTTCTACTCCTAAAATTAAACTCAAATGTTTTTTTAACACACTGATTTTTCAGTAGATCCACCCAGTAACGCTCGAGATTCACCAAAATTCTCCATACTATTCCTGTACCTTGCATGGCATGATTTCTGAAAATCATCGATATTTAACGAACAATTCCAATTACTGGATCCAGATCGAGAGACGAACCTAAGGATCTCCTCGAATAAAAACTCATCGCAAGGTATAGCCAAAGTGCCATGGTTAGAGAAACCATATTCTTCCTCCGCTTGACTCAGTAGCTTCCTGAAAATCGGATGATTCAAATACTTTGCTCGCACCACGAATCTCCGGCAATTACTGCCTACCGAGATCGCTACGTGTCCGGCAGGTATATCAGAAGCTATGCGTCTAGATGAAGAAGATATAGCTCTTTTCTTCCATTGTCGAAGCATCTGACTGATCCTTACAATGCAACGAATCCTGTTGAATTTTCCGATCTCAGGCGACATCGATCTCCAATAATCAAATACAACTAATTAATGTGTAGAAGAAAGAATGGAGGGAGGGAGTTGAGTAAAAAGAGAGTTTTATTGTTTGTTTAATATGAAAAAGTATATGAGAATTGGTTCTTAATAAGGGTATCTTATATAGACTGAATAAATGAAAAGACGAAATTGTCCTTAATAGTTGAGGATATTACACATGCCCATGTGGTGGGCAGAGAAAAAGTGATTATGCTTAGTTGCCGTTGTCGACCCCACATTACAACTAAATATGAAATCTTTTTTATTTATTTAATTGAAAGATAAGATAAGATAAATGTGATTATTTGGATCTTTGAAATGGTAAAACTCTTGCTTGTTAGTAATATATTTACCTTTTCAACAGGCGTTTATCCAGTACTAATTAATTGGTATCGGAAACAAAATATAACAAGGAAAAAATAGAAAGCTCAGTCAAACATGAATTAAAATTTTAAAAATAACAAGTAAAAAGTTTAATACTCAACAAAAATGGATTAGGAGTTGCAAATATTTGGTATTAAATGGTTGTTTAAATTTGAATACATTAATATTTTAAAGATATTTTTATCAAAAAATAGTACTCTCTATATTTTGAAAATTATATTCATTTATTATGTAAACTATACTCATTTATTATGTGTTTGCATTTTTAGAAATGTTGATCCCTTCAATAATTTGTTTAAATAAAATATTTTGAAATGTCAATGGTAGTTTTAGATTTATCAATGAGAGAGAATAGATCCCTTATGAAATATAATGAGAATCAAATTTTCAGGATTTGATACGAATAATTAACAGATTAACTAACTAAATAAGCTTAAATTTAATACAACTAATTTCACCTTACATCCCTTACTGTTCTTCTTTTAAAAATTAAATCAGTTATTGAACCAAATTATTAGAAGATCTCTTGTCTATCAAAGATCTTTCTGTTCCTGTAATCCTACACTAAAAAATGAAAATAGTAAAGATTTGAGGAATATTTTATGGGGCCCTGCATATATAATGCATCTAACCACATGTAATTACTCAGATAATTGACTAATTAATTTCCATTTATGGCATACATGTTTTTCTAATCAATCACCTCATCAAACTGGGGAAAAAAACAGAAAATAAAGTATTATGATTTATGTTATCTTTTTTCACAGATTTATCACCTCTCCTATTAGATTAAATTCCTAAATTAAAACAGAAAAAAAAAAAATTGATAAAAATGTATATGGATCAGTTGTGGCCCAATCCAATTTAATGGACTATCTACCATACGGCCACTGAGTTGTAACACGGCCCAAAGTCCATGAAATCCACTAGATCCTTACCCTAAAGAAATGTGTCATTTTGATAAACGGACTAAATTATTCTGAAATTAAATTGATATTATTCATTATTCGTTAATTGTATTAATTTATTATATAAATTTATACTATCTTGAATAGTGACCTCCTCCAATGTGGTGGAGCCAGAGTTTTCATCAAGATTTTCACCATTTCTATACTCTCTTTTTTTCATTGATAAAACAGCGAAGTCTAGGCTTGAATCTAGGCCTCCAAAGTAAATTTAAATAATCATAACCACTGAGCTATCTTTCTTTACTATGTCCAACAACTAGTATATAACGGAAAATATTGATATTTAAAATATATACTCACAACAAATTTCTGAAGAAGGTTTTGTATCTGCCCACCCTTGTTAAGGTGTAGCTCCACTTCTGCCACTGTATCAAACGACCTTAAGGGTTTATATCTATTTTAAGGGAAAATTATCCGTATAAACAAGCATATATTAGTTAATTAGTTAACATAACTATAGTTTGCTTTTAATTACAATTTGTGGCCTACTTTTAGCTATAATTACGCGACTCAATTTTTTAGTTTTGTATAATTCGCACGTTTGTATAATTCAGAATTTGTATAATATAATTTGTATAACTTTTGTATAATTCAGAATTTGTATAATTGTTTGCACTTCTTATGTTTGTAATTGTATAAATTTGTTATTTCGAGATTATACAAAATAACAGAATTATACAAATGTATCGGCGAATTATACAAATCCACGAATTATACAAACGAGACAGCTTAAACTATAGCTACAGCTTGTAAATATGCAAATTATAGCTATGGAGCATAATTAAAGTTTATTATAGTGGTTATTTGCAAAAGTTCTCTTTTTTAAAATTTAACGGACTTAGTTTATAAAAGATTTATAAAAATCTCAAACGTGGTAACAAAATGATAATACGATATTATAGTTGTTATTGATTCTAAATCCAGTAACTAAATTATTTTATCTGATAACAAAATGATAATACATTATTATAGTTGATTGATTCTAAATCCGGTGACTAAATTATTTTGTCTCAAACGTTTGATGGGTTCGTTGAGAAGGAAAAAAAGCCCGGGAAAAAATATGCCCATTTTGAGTACGAAGATAAGATTATAAGAAGATAATTATTGCACTTAATTCCAGAAACACCCTTACGCAAACGGATATTCTAAATAAACCGGTCGGTTCCTCTCAGCTGGGTCATCTCTACAACCCGATTACCCGAAGAGCTCTGTAATGCAGAACCTCGTAATCCAAATTCCACGTTTACGTCCTCTCCCGCCGTCCACACAATGTCTTTTTCCGGCAACAATGAGTTTATCGCCGGCGAAGCATATCAATCTCCGGCAATTCGACTCGCGGGAGTTGAAAACCAACAGTAGGAGTGTAAATCATAGGTTCATTAGATGTATGGCGAATCCTCGACGAGTTAAAATGGTGGCTAAACAGATACGAAGAGAGCTTTCCGATATGTTACTTACGGATAAGGTGTTACAGTACGCTGTTCTTCCTGAAGCTGCTCTCGGTGCGGATCGATACCTTTCTTCGCTTACCACTATTAGCGATGTTGAAGTTTCAACCGATTTGCAGGTTCATTTCTTTTGAATTGATGTTAGTTTTAGCTTAATTTTGGCTCGAGTCACTTGAATTTCCTTGCGGAATCTTGATAATGGTAGTAGCACTATCACAGCAATTGCATTTGCATCTCAGCAGCCATATGTTATCATTTAACTGGCCATCAATCTATTAGGACATTTCTTTTTTAGTCAATTGTCAATAATGAAAAAAGAGAGTTTGAGGTGTGAAAGTCGTGAAAAAGTGTACTGTGATAGTTCAGTGTGTTTTTGACTGTTATCTCTTTCCTTTTTATTATGTTTGAGACTGGCTATGTTTTTCTAAGCTTACATAACAGGAGTTGTTAGTAAATTATCTGTTTATCAATAAAATGGACTATGAAATAAGGAGGACAAAAGTGCATAGAAGAGGTTTTCGTTGGAGGGAATTTGTGATAAATGTTCTTTTTCTTGTTAAAAATGCTGTTGAGTTAGTGTCAAACTTAGAGCAGCGTATGTTTTTTCTCTGAACTCAGTCGATATCTTGGTTGAATAGCAAGCTAAAAGCTTTATCTTTGGCCCTCTGTAACGGAAGTCATAGTCTTAATCACATCATGAACTCTATGCATAATCCTTGCAGCAGATATACATGTTCTTATGTTATTATTGTAATTCTGTTCCTTAATTTAGTTCATTCTGAATTACTTTAGAAACTGAAGTAGTCGATTACAGCTATCTGATATTTATTTTTCCGATGTACCAAGCAAGGAAGGACCAGTTAGGTGAATGATCTGTTTATATGGTTTTAGGTACTTGGAATAATGGAGATTATTATTGCCGTTATAGAGATCTGATTTTTCTTGTATTTGATATGCCACTATCTCACTACATTCTGCCTCACTGCTCCATTGTTTTGTTCCTCTTTTTCACTCTGAATGTAAAATCGAGTATTCTGATGGTTGATTAATCAGCTCTGCAACATAACTGCTGAAAAACAAGAGTGCATATATAGCATCTGGCTGTTTTGAAAAAGTTAATCTCAATGAGTTCATACTTCATTCTAATCAAGCACACAGGAGCAAAATTGGTGTAGAGTTTTGACCGTATAAAGCCCCTGAAACAAAAAGCATAGTTGCGCCTCATGGGCATTGGAAAACAGACAATCATCCCCCTTCTTTATTTCTTTCCCCCTCTTTAAACAAAAGCAATTCCAATGCTCAGCCTCCTTCTCTATAGAATGTTACCAGCTTAACGCTGATATTTAGTTGGGGTTGTCTCCCGCTACTGATCCTGATATCTGGATTGACATGGATGAATTGTTTACATATGCTGAAGGATGTTTCTTTAAACAGACTACACAAGTTAAGGATGGTTTTATGGTTTGAAAGGTAGATGTGAGTGTAAAGAAACAAGAAAACATCAAATATTGAATAAGACGTATGTAATTCATTAGCAGGATAAGGTCATGGTTACTTTCCCCCTAGGGTAGAATTGACTTAGTTTGAATTTGAGGGTATGATTCGCCAAGAAGTGATCAAATCCCTATCACCATTCAGTTGCAACTAACAAGAAGATCCAATCTCAAATTTTATCTTTCTCAGGATAAAGTTGTCATATGTGCCTCTAATATATGTGGCTATGTAAATTGATGTCTGCTGTTGGCAATCAGAAATAAGATATCAACTTCATATTCACTGTTACTATCTAGCTGTCACAATCTTACTACTGCATATGGGTTGTTTATGTGTGCATGTGCAGGTTCTCTCTCTCTCTCTCTCTAGATGTATATATAAATTATGAGGATTTCCTTCTTTCTTTATTTGACCAAAGAATTGAAGTAGTACTAGACAACAAAGAAAATAATCTCTCATTTCTATAAATGATAACTTCTTTGATCTTCAAGGATGATTCCTGTGATCTGTCATATTCCCATTTGGACTCTTAGGAAAATTCTGTGCTGCTGTAGGTTGTTAAGGTCTATGTCTCCGTATTTGGAGACGAAAGAGGAAAGGAAGTTGCTTTGACGGGCTTGAAGTCAAAAGCAAAATATGTAAGGAGTGAGCTAGGGAGGCGAATGAAGTTGCGACTGACTCCTGAGATTCGTTTCATTGAAGATGAGTCCCTTGAACGAGGAAGCAGGGTGAGTAATTCTAATCTATGTCTTATTAGAGAATTGATTGGGTTTTTTTTTTGGGGGGTGGGGGGGTGGGGGTTTGTTGTTATTTATGACTACATTGCGATAACCCTCTTTGCACTTTCTTGAGTTTCTCTCCTTTTTTGCAAGGCTGTGCTGTTGTTTCCTGGCGACTAAGCCTTTTATGATTCTCCTTCCATAATTTTGTTTTGCAACCAAATCTCTCAATAATGAGGTTTACCTTTATCTCTGACTTGCCCCTACTCAAATGATGGCCAAGTTCATTGACAGCACACCAAAATGACTTGTATCTTGAACGTATCAGATGCTCGTTAAACACTGGTCTGGAGCATTTCGCATATCGAGTTATGACTTAAAATTTGCACTGGGCAGCAAGTAAAACTTGACTAATTACCATATTAATCTCTTGGATGGGAAATAAAAGGAAAAAAATATTATATTGTCCAACAAAACCTATAAGGAATTGGTCACTAATTAAAGAAGAGTGAAGTTATTGGCCTCAATGCCCATTTTTATTCTTCACTGATCTTTCAAAGAAAACTGTTTCTTGCATTTGCAAGTTGATCTAGTGATGATCTTGCTTAATCAACATTACTCTGTATACAAGAAAAAAAATGACTTATATGGCTTTTCACAGTAGAATATATTCTTGAGAGTCAAGACTGATTAAAGCATAAGCCCTTTTCTGAAATGTTGCAGTTATAAGGCTGTCTTCTATTGCTAGCATGGCTACTGAATCTGAAGTAGATTACAACTGTGTGATTGCTTTGCTTTTTTTCTGGCAGATTACTACTTTACAGTCCCTGAATGTACTTTTAGGTCATGCTTAAGGTTGAGCCAATTCTTGCAGGTACTTGCTATATTGGACAGGATTAAGGATGAGAATGAAAATAAGGATTCACCATCGGGATCTGCCAATGATGGATCATCTGAAAGCGATGATGATGGGGACTGGGAGGGTGACGACCCTGATGATGAAGGCATTATTTATGTGAAATAGCTTTCTAGTGCGATCTAAACTACATCGACTCTGTGACTAGACAAAAGATGTGTTGCATAATGGTAAGCCACATGCTTATAAAGTTCAGCACATTTTAGAGTGAACACAACACTCTGTTTCCTGTGTTGCTTAGGCTACACAAATTTTGCCTTTTTATTGTCAGTGAATAGCAATGTTGTGCTTTTCAGCTCATGTTAGTACTTGAACTACCTTGTCCATCAAACAACGCTCATATAGGGTGTAGCTTACACAATCTTTATAAGAACAAGAAGTAAACATTGGCAGAACATTAACATCACTTCCCCAGAAGTTATCCACGTTCATTTTTCTCAATTGCGTTGCATTGAGTGAGCTTATTGCTACATACAATTTTACAAGAACCTAATGACTGCTATTTCATTTTCAGGGTGAAGGTGTTTCCTCAGCATGCAAAGAACATTTGCGCAATTCCCAAATTGTGGAAACCTTATTGAACCCTGGTCCGAACTGTCTAGCTAGTTTATTTTCCTGTTTCTTGTATAATTCGTGTCTGATGAACGAATCAGTTAGAGTAGTACTTGGCCTTCCATGGACAAGTCTGGCTTTGCCTCTCCATTTCAAATTATACAAGTTTATCAGCTGGTCTCATCTATTACTGGGAAGAAATTGAAAAAAAGGGATAACTATATGAATAGTAATTAGAAATTTTCGTCTGAAAGTTTGTTCTGGATGACCTGGGTAGCAGATTCTTCTTGTTACAACGTACAAGTGATGGTGAACAATAGATTTAAGGATTCCTTCATAAGCAAAACTTCCATGCATATATTTTGTGTTGAATATTATGTTTCCAGGATGTATTGCTACTGTGTAGGGACTATATGCTGCATTAATTGCCTTCTCCATGATAGATTAAAGTGGTGGTCAAAATCCATTACATGATTAAAGAACTAAAAACAAAGGAAGGAACAACGAGACATCCATTCACTATTCACCCGACAGGAAAAAGAGAACTTGAACACAGGTCATCAAGACAACAAGTTTGCATATCTTCATCATTGGTCGAACAAACACAAACTAAAAAAGCTTTTTCCTGAATTAATTGATGCAACAAGAAGATTATTATGCTAGCAGATCAATGCCAACTTTTTCCCTGTTTGTCCAATATAATCCCTCAAAATTGGACCACCAATATATCATTGGACCGTAAAAACATTTGACAACTCTTGAATACAAAATTGAACAGTTACAAGTCGAAAATGATGGTCCTAAGCAACAGGCCATAATGAAAATTGATATAATGTGATTGTCATATATTATTTTTATCAGACAGCAAATGCAGCATACTGCTCTCTATCAGTGATGTGCCTTAGCTTCAGCTTTCTGGTGAGACTTGGCTTTAGCCTGAAATAAATAAGATGGAAAGGAGGTTACAGAGATAGTCTACACGGAATGACAAAGGCATATTAGCTCGTACTAAAACAATGCGGAATTCTTTGGTTGAGAAGTCTAAATATGTGCACTTGATACACAGAGCACTGTGGAAATTTGAGGCACAAGTCGTCTGAAATATTATCCATGCAAATTTCAAAGAGGATTTTGACATTACGTGACTAGAAAAAAATTCCAAACACATCCCAACACTCAATGTGAATGGATGAAGGATTTCGGGGTGCTCATGTATCCTGAAGAAGGTCCATCGCAATGAGCAAACTGCACAACCACCACCACCAACAAAATACCAATGTAATTCCACAAGCGGGGTATGGGAGGGGTAGAGTATATGCAGACCTTACCCCTACCTTAGGAGGTAGAGAGGTAGTTTCCAATAGACCCTCAGTTCAAAGAAGAAGAAGAAAAGAATGAAGAAAAAAGGTGTCAAAAGCATTCTAAAAAGAACATAACTACACCAAAATAATACGATAATCGAAGTGCAATAAAACAACAAACATCGAAGGACAAGAAACTCCATCAGTAATACTACGACTACTAGTATGGAAAGATAGGTGAGATAACACTCTACTACCTACTAACCGTCCACCCTAATCCATGTCCTCCACAACCTCCTATCTAAGGTCATATCCTCTATACGTTGAAATCGCACCATGTCCAATCTAATCACCTCCCCCAAATACTTTTTTCGACCTGCCTTTACCTCTCCTGAAACCATCTATAGCCAACCTCTCACACCTCCGCACTGGAACATTTTTACATTTCCTCTTCACATGCTGACATCATCTCAGCCTTGCTTCATGCATCTTGTCTTTCACTAAGGTCTCTCCAAACTTATCCCAGATCTTTTCATTTCTAATATCATTCATGGCATGGCCACACATCCAATGCACCATACTCATCTCCGTAACTTTCATCTTTTGCACATGAGATGAAAGATGTGGTGATGAGTATGTTGCATTGAATAAGCAAATTACACCCTAGATCTAAATTAGACAACTCATAAAGATAAATATCATTTCTAGTAAAACTTCTCTTTTGAGATAAGGTGACGGACTAGATAAATAGATAAAACAGGATCTACCATACTTGAAGAGGAAGAACTAGCTGTTACCATTCAGTTCTTGCAAGCCAATGGGGTGCAACTAAGTATGCACTATAGTCTTTCTTTTATATAAAGAAACATTTACATCCTAAGCCAACAAACTGCTCTACTTATCTTCCACGTTAAAGCATAAGACTGAATTTGCGCCTCTAATTCAGTTTGTATCAACATCATACAGGCTATGAGAACATAAATTCATGTATCTCCTTTCTGCTTCTGAATCCAAATTCATCTCATGGAAGTCAATCAGGTACTCTTGAAGAAATATAGTTAATATTTGTGCTATGCACATTGAGCGGTTATCAGATAGTTCCCCACCAACTACAATGGCTTTCTTTCATCTCATCTAATTTTGCAATTCAGCTTGCTTTTACAATAGTTCAATTAGTAAAAATCTGCTAGTATCTCTAACAATTAGATAGAATAATTTGAGAAGTTCAAACTAACATCTAAAATTCTGACAGCTAAAAAATTGACTGCTAAAGCAAAGAATTACAGCTTCAAGACGTTGAACAAACATAGCAAATGAACAATTCACACAGAGTAGTCTACAAAATCAAGCAAAATGCATTCTTTTTCCTATCCAAAATTACCATAAAAAGTGGGTAAACTACAAATCAAGCAAAAACTCATTCATTTTCCTATCAAAAATTACAAATAAATAACTGGGAATCTACAAAAACAAGCAGCAATCCATTCTATTTCCTGTCCAAAATTGCCAATATATAGTGGGGAGAAAGGAAAATACCTTGAGATACTTGAGCTTCATGCTACCATAGACAAGTCCAAATGTGAATGCTGAAGTACGAGCCACCTGCCCCAAAAACAATTAAATCGATCAATCAATCAATCACATAAGCATCAATCTAATTCACTCTATTCAGATCTATTTCCCTGTAATACTCTCACCAATATGATTCTTAAGACAAATCCAAAGGATGATTAATGAGTACATGAGATCGAAGCATTGAAGAAAGAAGGAAAATGGTTTTACCAGAGCAAGGGTACTGGTTCCAGAGTAAGGTCCGGGAAGAGGCGCCATTGTTGACTTCACAAGTAGAGAGCTTCAAGATCTCTTTTAAGCCCTAAAAATTAGAATTTCACAAACCCTCAACTCTACCAACAAACGATAATTGGGTTATATCGTGTGAGCTGTGATTGGCTGTGCGCCCGCCTAGTGAATCCTCACAATGTCTATTTCCCTTTTGTGTGTTTGGTATGAAGGAAAATGTTTTCCAATTTTCTCATGTTTGGTTGGGTTAAATGTTTTTCAAATCAACTCATTTTTCTCAAATTTAAGGAAAATGACTTCTCTTCAAAACTTAAGGAAAACATTTTCCAAATCTCTCTTCCAACTTCAAATTACAATTACTTTTTTGTTGAAAAAATCAATTTATTTTGTTCCTACCCTCAAACCAGCCCCCCAACCACCCCTCCAAATAAATAAATAAATTTAAAACTTATTTTTAAATTCAATTTTTACCCCACCTTCACCCCTACCCCCACCCCTCCCAAAAAAATATTTTCAATTTCAAAATTTCATTTTTTCACCCCTACCCTCGACCCCCCACCCACGCACCCCCTACCAGCCCCCCACCCCCAAAAAATAATTTTTAAGTTTGTTTTTCAAAAATATTTTCAATTTCAAAATTTAATTTTTTTCACTCCTACGCACCCCCGGCACCCCCCCCCCACCCACCCCACCCCCCCTACTAGCCCCCACCCCAAAAAAAAAATTAAGTTTATTTTTAAAAAATATTTTCAATTTCAAAAATTATTTTCTACTCTAGTTAAAATAAAAGATATTTCTCAAAAATATTTTTTATTCATAAGTCAAACACTAAAAAAAAATTTCTACTTACCAACCAAACATGAGAAAATAAGTCAAAAATCAACTTGCTTTCCTGAAAAACATTTTCCTTCATACCAAACACGCCCTTAGCCTTGACATGAAAGCAAGGCCTTTTTTGTTTATTTTTATTACTTTTACTCCTATTTAATGGAGTAACATAAAATGATTAGTTTTATAAAATACTTCTTGATATGAGGGTGAATAATAATTCATCTAATAGTACTCCATTATCTACTTAATCATTTTTTAATTAATATAATTTTTAAAAACGATAACAGTATACTTGGTCCCTCAATTATAGTGGATTCCAATTATTATCCTTATGATATATAACACAATATTATTAATATTTAATTAATTAAAATGTATGTTTTGATCTCTTTTGTAGAAAATATATTATGTTTAGATTTTTTTTTAAAAGTATCTTACCCTTAAATACAAGATAATAAAATGAGTTCAATATATACACAAATGTTAAAATGGTAAAAGGTTAATACTTCAAAATGTTATAATCATTCAATAGCAAGGAAATAAAAAAAAATCTATCTAAATAACTAAAATTTAAATATATTAAATCAAATCACAAAATATTAAATTATAATTTACTCAAGTACTACTAACTAACGGAGAGAACTTACTTTTTTTTTGAAAAAAATAATTTAAATAATCATTCATATAATCGGTTATACTAAAAATACTCATTGAGAAGTATCTCTATATGTCTTAGTGCATGTATTTTATTTTATGTGTATAATAATCAAAATATAAGGAGCAAATTCGATCGATTATTTGCGTAAATTCAATTATGTTTCATTATTACTTTGACAAAACTGATTAAAATTAAATTAAAAATTTAACGATGACTCGATTAATTTTCATTATTACTTTGACAAAAGTGATTAAAATTAATTAAAAATCTAACGCTGACTTGTAAAAGACGAATCAGCGAGTATTAGATTCACTCTCACCCACTCCACTACTGAGTTGAGAGATCATCGGCGATAGGGTGTAGGAGAAAGGAATCTGGAAAAAAATGGCGTCGAACCAAGTGAGGGCATCCCACATACTCATCAAACACGAAGGATCTAGGCGTAAATCTTCATGGAAAGATCCAGAAGGTCGCATCATCTCTAACACCACCAGAGACGCCGCCGTTTCCCAGCTCAAATCCTTTCGTGATGACATCATCTCCGGCAAGTCCAAGTTCAAAGATGTTGCTTCTCGCTTCTCTGATTGCAGCTCTGCCAAACGCGGTGGCGATCTAGGTACTTCCTTCATCTACTGCAGTTTATTGTTTTCAATGATTATTATGCTTATATTAATTAATCCAGTGTTATTGTTATGAGTTGTTTTCATCTTGGTTCGAGATTTGTACGGATTTTTTAGGGATAAGATCTGAGATTTAAAGGATTTTCTGGTTGTAGAATAAGGCTAATTTGCTTTAGAATACAAGTTAGGATTTGGTATCAGATGGACTTGAATAGAGTAGTACGGTAAATTTGGATGCATGTACATAATTTTAACAAATTGAGTGGTATATCAATTATCAAAAGATGATTATGCTGGGTTTTGATAGGGTTTAACTAGTAATTTGCTTCGACTGTGATCTGCTTGAAAGCAAAGTGTCTTGAATATTAGCTCGTTCTTAACTCATTGGAGTAGCTATTCAATTTACTTACTTCGATAAAGGCAAACTCCAGAAAAGATCTAGAGAAAGTATTGAAGTTTAGGAAACTGGAGGCTAGTTATTGAATAAGCTTATATTTGTTACTATTTGGAGACAACTTCTCAGGACAAAAGACTTGTGAATACTTGGAAATTTGGAGTTCTGTTATGGAATTGGATTTAAATTAAATTGATGTTTCACCATGTTCTTGCTGCATTTATCAAGTGAATATGTCTATCCATTTGCTTGAAGTCTTGAGCTGCACATGCAATCTCCCCTCCCGCCTCTTTTGTGCATCTACCAATTGGTTAGTAGATGCACCTTTATATGTCAAATCATTTGTATAGCATCTTTTCTGGAATGGACTGTAAGCAAGTTACGAAGAAGAAATCTGCTAATCATTTATTGCCGTTAAATGAGTTCACCAAAGCACTAGTCTTTTGTTTCTTCATTTAGTTATTTGTAATTAGGATCGAAGCACTAGTTTCTGGTCCTGCGAAAATTCACTAAACAGCTGCTTTTTAGGTGAAAGTTTTGATAAACTATCAAGACTTCTCTACCTTGAAAAAAGATTTTCTTGCAGTCTGAGGTCATTTGGTAATAATCAGTGATAGAAGCAGACAGATCTGTGCTTATCCCCTACTTGTCTTGATAAATAATATGCTTTCAGCAGCATGCATTTACGCTCGTTATTTGTCATAGATTAGGAATATGGACAGGTGGTGCACCAGATTTGACACTAATCAACTTCTTTTTTTCTTCTTATTCTCCTTTTTCCCTTTGTGTTGTCGACACTGATTAATAGTGGCTACAACTTGAAGATGCAATCCCCTCTCACCTCACAAAAACTAGTAAATCAGTTTTACTAAAACTGGGTGATCAAAATTATTCACTGTTAAATAAAAGTGGTGCATAAACCTGCTCAATCTTGTTCAAACCTTTTCTGCACATTCCTGTGGTTCTCTGTTTCTTGATAGCAGATTGAGCTGTTAGTTATCACATTAAACAGTGTAAGAACATTAGGAAAATAATATATCCTATAAGCTCGTTTCAGTAGAAAGAATGAAGAAAAAACCTTTAGTATTGGTATCAAGTAACTTGCATTATTTTTATGGTGCTCCAATTGTAATAAAATCTCTGATTTTCAAATGTAAATGTTCAATGGATTAAAGCCAGATCATTTTCTGAATAGTGTGTGGTTTTTATGAGTTTCTATCACTTGAGCTGAGTCCCATGTGACGAAATTTTCTATAGCTTCATATAATTGTTGTTTATTGAGCTCTGTTGGTTTTGCTGGAGTGGTTGGTCAATGATCTAATATCTGCATTCTTATTTTGTGTCTCTAATAATGTTGTTTTGCTACAATTACGGAGGTTTACTTTCAAAATATCCTCCCTAATTGCTATTTTATTTTAATATCATAGCATGTTTATATTTAGTAGATTATTATACTCTTGCCATATTTTATTCTTGTTCAGCTATCTCATTGTTTTGTGCTATGAATCTTGTTAGTTTGTAAACTCTGATTCTTCTAAAGCTTTTTATGCCTAAATTTATCATTCAATTTCAATGTATACTTCTGGTTAAAAACTGCCTTTTATTTTAGTGGTTATGTTGGATATTGATGTCAATCTTCTGTGCTAACTCTTGGATTGTCAACATCATAAAGCTAATATACGAGCATTTTTTCTTTTACCAATCAAAAAATGAGAAAATAACTAATGTAGAGGCACTGCTCCTTACCTTCACTATCTTCTGTGCTTCTTTTTCTGTAAACATCTCCAAGTCTCTATCTCTGCTGAAGGCTAAAAGCCTAAGCGTTGGTGTCACTTCTGGCATCTTCAAAGGTGGGGGACTCTCTACTTTTTTCCAATGAAGAAGGTGTGGGTGGTTATCGTTACTGTATTTAACTGAAGAAGGGAATTTCCAATTGTAGTAATATATTGACCCTGCAAAGGGAAAAGATGGAGACGTATCTTTGTGGTCTGTGGATATAGTAGAGTTTTTCATCTTGTTTAATGGCATTTTGGTATCATTTCTAGCATCCTGAAAGGTGAATTGGTGAATGCTTAATAAGCTCATTTCATTTGCAGGTCCATTTGGTCGAGGGCAGATGCAGAAACCTTTTGAAGTTGCAACTTATGCACTGGAGGTTGGTGAGATCAGTGACATCATTGATACTGACAGTGGTGCTCACATAATTCTGAGAACCGGTTAACATTGGTGGAGAAAGTATCTACAGATTCAAGAGCAATTGCAAGTTGTAACGTTTTTTTTTATTTATTAATTTTGGTGTTTCAAAGACTACCCTTCCCACGTTTGTGTTGTATTGCAGCAACAAAATTATATATTTTGATTGTATTATCAGTCAAATACAACTCCAGATGCTTGATGTTTATAGACGTTTTAATCCATGTGTTGAGAGTTTCTTAACATGTGGCACCCTCTAAATTCAATTACCTCGTGACTGATTGCAACCTCTATAAGGTCTTCTAAATTACAGCAAGTCTTGTAAACCAAGGTTCGAATTCCTGCAAGAGTAAAATATTAGACGATTTTTTTCATCTGCTTAAGCTCCAGTGAAAGTTACCGCATAGCTATGCCTGAACCGGCTTTGGTTGATGAT